TCGATTCTCGTTATACGCGATGTGGCGAAAAAGACTGATTCGACGAGATATGACATGCCTGCATTAAGATTTAAAACGTGTCGTCTACTTCCAGGAAATGTTCGGAACAGAGAACTCTCTATAATACAACGCCGCATTCTCCGAAGATTGAGGAACAAGAGGAGATCCATTAAAAGAAATCTTTCTCTGAGAGAAAATCTAAACAGTAACATCAAATCACAAACTACACGAAAGTTGTCCCTTTATTATGGGGGTTTACCCATAAGGGAGATGCACAGAGGAAGAGAACGAACTTCATATATCCCTTTTCTACTCAATCAAGAAACAAGATCGGACGTGATTCCGGTTCGTCTCCATTTTAGTAAGCACCTTCCTCAAGCAAGGCAGCGCGATAAGTCATCGAAGGGTTTGTGTGAATAATGGACTGGTAAGCATTACTCATTTTAAAGTTTCCCAGGTGATCTAATATCTTTTCAAGAAAATGAGGCGAGAACCCGCGGTGAAGAAATAAGGAGATTTTTCTATATCGACATATCAGTTGGGAAAATCATAGGCAAATTCCTGCCGGTCAGAATGTGGAGAAGAACCAAAACGAATGGTTCCGCCTACTCAAAACTCGGAGGGGTGCCGCCTCCTACTCAAATCCCGGTTTTTGCAAGAGTTGCATTCTTCTATGCAAGAGGAAGACTTAGAAAGAAAAAAGAAGTTTGGATCCGCAAAAGTATGCTTAGGCAGTTCCTTCGCTGAACACAACAAATGAAGAGGAATTTGTTTCATTTCAAATACTTCTTCTTATCGAAGAGAAGAAAAGATCAAAACGAAATCTTCCTACTCGAACAAGAAGTCCTTTGTTACAAGTCTTCTTTATATAGTAATTCGACCTATTGCTCCAGATCCCCGTTTACTAGGAAGATAAGAATCAAAAGGATCGAACTACCTACTCATTATTCGGAGGTGAATCATAGAACACCAAAAAGCTGTGGTATCTTATGGACCTAACATAGGTCACATCCCTCACGACATAAGATTGAAAGATCCAAACCTTCCTCTTCGGAGCGGAAACGGATATGGCCAAAACATATAAGAAAAGATCGGCGTAGTCGCTCATAGGGACATCTCTATCCGGATAGAGGATAGTCTAGATCGATTCATAGATAGATCTATATCTATATGTTTAAATATATATATATAAGATAAGGTTCAAACTTCAAATAATTACTACTACTTTCATTCATTTTTTCCGATTGATTGCCTTTTTTTCCTACTACTACTATTTTCTTATACTTAAAGCAAGGAAACATCGTTCATTCCATTTTGACTTAATTGGTCGGAGCGTAGACGAGCGAGCAGAGCCCAGGAAAAGAGGTAAGACCGTCATAGAGCAGTCGACTATAAGTAGAAGACTGCTGGCCTGAGAGAAGGCAGTCTCTCTCGGGAAACATAACATGGCCAATTTCTCTTCTTTCTTTTCAAACGGGCAACATAGGTGCTGTTAAGCCATATAAAAAAGTAAAAATAGGAATCAAAAAGTTATAGAACATTTCGGCAGTTAATAAAACGATGATTTTGCTTTGCTCTACCCCCCTCCCTTCGGCGTGACTCAGAGTTAAAAGTATGAACGGCCTTACAGTCTCGCGGTTCATCGCGATTCCTAACTTATGTATTCCCCCTGTATCCCTCTGCCTATCGGGTGGGCTTCCCCTTCTTTTATTGCATTTTTCCCTTCTTTGCACTTCCTCGATATGCATAAAGGAGAAAATCAAAAAAGAAAAAAGAATAAAGAAGCAAAAATGAAAAAAAAGAAAAATGAATGCAGTTCTATCTAATTCTACTCTTCGAAGATATGTTTTATTAACCTTCTCTCATGTGGAAAGTCAGTTTTTGGATAAAGATGAAATAGTTTCTCGTTTACGAAAGACGTTCACTTGTCAAACAATCTTGGTTGGGGAGGGTAAGGGCGAGTCTGGTGGCTTTCACATTCATTTTGGTATTTTTTTTTCATTCGACAGCTAGCAAAAACACGGCCACTAGTCAATTGCGGTCTCTTTTCCCGGAGTTCGAGGGGAAAGAGCTCGACGTCTCTTTTCACCGTTCCTGGTCATCCATTTGTACATATGTAACGAAAAAGGATCCTGATGTCTATGTATGGGGCGACCAGAGGGAAAGATCTTGAAAATAGTGGATTCATTCGAGACGCCAGCGCAAGAGGACGAATCCCACTTTAGCTAAGGAGCATGTGGCTCATGTCTTAGAGGAGAAAAAAGATTGGATTGACGTCTTTGATGACCCTATTGTCACGCAAGAAAACCTTACGTCTTATATGTCCATGCGTAGCACCTTTGATGATCTCTGGGTAAAAAAAGCGAAGAATAGAGATTGGATGAAATCTTTACGGGATTACTTATCTGATCATGATCATCCTGACGAGTATGATATCGAAGTGCTCAAAGAGAAGTATTTCCTCTTGGACTGGCTTGCAACTAATCTGATTTGTCTTCGACCCATCAAAACAAAGCAGCTCTTTCTCTATGGTCCTCCTAACACGCAAAAAACATTTTTTTTTTTTTCTTTCCTAAAGCCTTGTATTGATGATCTACTTTGCGTCTTCGCAAAGGAATGACTTTTCCGGAGCACATGACTACTATGACCTCTGGGTCTTTGACCAATGTCACTAAACTAATGATGATAGCTCGATTATTGGTGCTGGCCACTCTTCCTGCAAGCAAGGCAGCCGATAAGTCATCGAAGGGTTTGTGTGAATAATGGACTGGTAAGCATTACTCATTTTAAAGTTCCCCACGGTGATCTAATATCTTTTCAAGAAAATGAGGCGAGAACCGCGCGTGAAGAAATAAGGAGATCTTTCTATATCGACATATCAGTTGGGAAAATCATAGGCAAAATTCCGTGCCGGTCAGAATGTGGAGAAGAACCAAAACGGAATGGTTCCGCCTACTCAAAACTCGGAGGGGTGCGCCTCCTACTCAAATCCGGTTTTTGCAAGAGTTGCATTCTTCTATGCAAGAGGAAGACTTAGAAAGAACAAGAAGTTTGGATCCGCAAAAGTATGCTTAGGCAGTTCCTTCGCTGAACACAACAGAATGAAGAGGAATTGTTTCATTTCAAATACTTCTTCTTATCGAAGAGAAGAAAAGATCAAAACCGGAAATCTTCCTACTCGAACAAGAAGTCCCTTTTGTTACAAGTCTTCTTTATATAGTAATTCGACCTATTGCTCCAGATCCCCGTTTACTAGGAAAAGATAAGAATCAAAAGGATCGAACTACCTACTCATTATTCGGAGGTGAATCATAGAACACCAAAAGCTGTGGTATCTTATGGACCTAACATAGGTCACATCCCTCACGACATAAGATTGAAAGATCCAAACCTTCCTCTCGGAGCGGAAACGGATATGGCCAAAACATATAAGAAAAGATCGGCGTAGTCGCTCATAGGGACATCTCTATCCGGATAGAGATAGTCTAGATCGATTCATAGATAGATCTATATCTATATGTTTAAATATATATATATAAGATAAGGTTCAAACTTCAAAATAATTACTACTACTTTCATTCATTTTTTCCGATTGATTGCCTTTTTTTCCTACTACTACTATTTCTTATACTTAAAGCAAGGAAACATCGTTCATTCCATTTTGACTTAATTGGTCGGAGCGTAGACGAGCGAGCAGAGCCCAGGAAAAGAGGTAAGACCGTCATAGAGCAGTCGACTATAAGTAGAAGACTGCTGGCCTGAGAGAAGGCAGTCTCTCTCGGGAAACATAACATGGCCCAATTCTCTTCTTTCTTTCAAACGGGCAACATAGGTGCTGTTAAGCCATTATAAAAAGTAAAAATAGGAATCAAAAAGTTATAGAACATTTCGGCAGTTAATAAAACGATGATTTTGCTTTGCTCTACCCCCCTCCTTCGGCGTGACTCAGAGTTAAAAGTATGAACGGCCTTACAGTCTCGCGGTTCATCGCGATTCCTAACTATGTATTCCCCCCTGTATCCCTCTGCCTATCGGGTGGGCTTCCCCTTCTTTTATTTGCATTTTTCCCTTTCTTTGCACTTCTCTCGATATGCATAAGGGAGAAAATCAAAAAAGAAAAAAGAATAAAGAAGCAAAAAATGAAAAAAAAAGAAATGAATGCAGTTCTATCTAATTCTACTCTTCGAAGATATGTTTTATTAACCTTCTCTCATGTGGAAAGTCAGTTTTGGATAAAGATGAAATAGTTTCTCGTTACGAAAGACGTTCACTTGTCAAACAATCTTGGTTGGGGAGGGTAAGGGCGAGTCTGGTGGCTTTCACATTCATTTTGGTATTTTTTTTTCATTCGACAGCTAGCAAAAACACGGCCACTAGTCAATTGCGGTCTCTTTTCCCGGAGTTCGAGGGAAAGAGCTCGACGTCTTCTTTTCACCGTTCCTGGTCATCCATTTGTACATATGTAACAAAAAGGATCCTGATGTCTATGTATGGGGCGACCAGAGGGAAAAGATCTTGAAAATAGTGGATTCATTCGAGACGCCAGCGCAAGAGGACGAATCCCACTTTAGCTAAGGAGCATGTGGCTCATGTCTTAGAGGAGAAAAAAGATTGGATTGACGTCTTTGATGACCCATTGTCACGCAAGAAAACCTTACGTCTTATATGTCCATGCGTAGCACCTTTGATGATCTCTGGGTAAAAAAAGCGAAGAATAGAGATTGGATGAAATCTTTACGGGATTACTTATCTGATCATGATCATCCTGACGAGTATGATATCGAAGTGCTCAAGAGAAGTATTTCCTCTTGGACTGGCTTGCAACTAATCTGATTTGTCTTCGACCCATCAAAACAAAGCAGCTCTCTTCTCTATGGTCCTCCTAACACGCAAAAAACATTTTTTTTTTTTTCTTTCCTAAAGCCTGTATTGATGATCTACTTTGCGTCTTCGCAAAGGAATGACTTTTCCGGAGCACATGACTACTATGACCTCTGGGTCTTTGACCAATGTCACTAAACTAATGATGATAGCTCGATTATTGGTGCTGCGGAAGCCGGAACTTCGGTTTTCAACAACAATCTTTTAAAGATCTTGGATGGACAAGAGTGTCGTGTCGAACGGAAGGATTCGACTCTCTTCAAAAGACACGGAATGTACCTATTGTCATGATGGAATAAAACTTCCCAATTGCATAAAAGAAAATGGGCCCTTCCATGCACGCTTTCATCGTATGCCATTTTTCAATGATGGTGATTCTCTCTGCGCTGTTTGGCGCAGCACCGGGCATAGTGAGCTGGACTTTGATACTTTACCCGCTCAAATCGATTCCTTTGGATAAGAGGGAGATATCGAAATACGTGAGCGGAACAATGTCTTAATACGACCAATAAGAAACGAAAACCGTGGCCATTACTGTGATCCTTTTTAGAATAAAAAGAAGAAGATGCCTTCTTTCGAGCAGATCCGCGGAATCGTAAATAAAAGGAATCTCCCCCAAAAACTTTCCTTAAAAAATTTGGCGGTAGACGACAGGACTCCTGCTGGGCCACGAAAGCCCTTCTCTCTCCACATAAAAGGCTTCTTTCTATCCAGGGTCAGAGTCTTCCGCAAGCAAAAGAGGATTTCCTAAAAGAAAGAATGTGCGCGCGAGGGCATATCACGAAAGAAGTTAAAAAGTGAGTATCCACGGGTACTACAGTTCGATTTTTCCATGACACGAAACCTACACTTTGTCCTCCCGGCAAAAGGCACGAAAGATCGATCAGTCTTAGGCGCCCAACTGCTCCCTTCGTTATAGGCAATATGATAAAGGAGAGCCGGTAGAACTCGGAAATACGGAAAGGAGAAGGGGGTAAGCGACCAAATTAAAGGAGTCTCCTGCTAACTGGCTGCGAAAGCCGAACTTGCTTCTCGCTGGCGCTTGTCCGAAGCCTGATTTAACGACTTTAAGTGCGAATTTGCCTATTTCTTAATTTAGCGAAAGTCTAGTCCCATAGACGATTGGAGCACACTACTCCTCAATGCCAGCCGAAGGTAAGAAGCGGTAGAAAATTCTGCGTCTTGCTTTCTATCCTTCTTAGCACAGATTTGCCCGCCTTTCTTTTGGTCTTGAACGCGCGAGAGAGGAATGGAGATATCTCTTCTTTTCACTAACTTCTTTCTTGCTCTTAAGCACCTAATTTTCTTGCTGAAATAATAGTTGACACCTATCCGAAGAAGAAGTGAAAAAGCGATGTGAATATATCTGTTCTATTAGCTGGGAAAGAATGAGTCAAAACAGGGACAGAAAAAGAGGAAAGCAAGAAGCGAAGGCCAGTTGGATAATACACCTTTCTTTTCCGGAACGCGTTTGCCGGTGGTAGTTTTAGCAATGAGCAGGAGCTCGGCGGACTACGTTAGGCACGCCCTTCTTCTCTTTCTTCGCTTGGTTCGACCGACAGTGGAGGGAGAGGAAAGAAATTTCATCTTTCTTTAGATGCAAATAAGGGTAGTCTTCTAATCATGGTATGCTCTACTATTGTCTTCATTCCCGAAGTACCGATGGAGATTGCTTAGACCCCTGTTTTCCGGATTCCACCGCCTATGATGACGAAAGCGAATCGAGACATTCTGTTGATGGCTTGTAAAGCTTCACGTCCTGATGACCTTATAAACTCGTCAGTCCTCCTTTGGTCCACTCCGGCCGAACAGATAACTGGTGCCTCTACGTTGAGTCGAGCCTTTGACGCTTCCGCTCCCTCTCTCACGCATGAACCAAGCTTTCCCTCATCGAGTTATCTTCGTCCTAGCAGCTCTTCTCTTTCTTTCCTGACGGCCCGTTACGTTTTGTTGCGTACTTTTGTAAATCCATTCAACGGGAGGGAGGGGGATCCTACTACAAGGGGGCTTGTTGCTTGTGCAATCCCTTGAGTAAGGTCGAACAATTTACTAGACTTCGGTTATTGTTTCTTTTTGCTTATGCGCCTTACCAGGTATTCAAATGTCGCTATGTGAGTAATACATTATCTTTTTTAGACCATTTCCTATCCTATTTTGATGATATTGTATTGTTTGGTACGTAGACCGTCTCTCTCGTCTGCTACCTTTCCCAGATATGATGGCTTCTTTTGGTCAAAGGTCCATTACCGACCGCGCAATCTGGCAGATTGATGCTTCAGCCAGGATATCTGCTAACGGCAACCTCAAATGTCGGGCCATGTCTCACTTGTTTGTTGGCCCCTTATCTTAATATTAATGGTGATGTTTGGCTTCGAAGCCTACTAAGCCTTTCCTTATCTGCTGATTCAGTGACATAGATCAACGCTGACCTGACTTGCTCCATTCTTGCAGATAAGCTTTCTAATTTTTTTATGCGAAGGGAGATGCGAGATAACATGGTAGATTCAGCCCAGTAGTGTCAATAGTCTCGAAAAGGGTGCCATAGCTTTTTCTTTCTACACCTGCATCTTCGACTCAAGCTTTGTTAGTGACAACAAGGTTCCGAAGGAAAAACGACTGCCTTTCTCACCAGTGGGCAAGTCTGATTGATCCAATCACGCACGAATGATGTCAACCCATCTTTTGCGCCTAACTTGACTCTGATTCCCCCACTATGAGAGCTGATCCAGGGTCCCGTCCGGCTACTGAATTTACGAAAGCCTGTCTTTCGACTCAATGTATTGCCCTTTGGACCAGGATCTGAGACGAGGAAGTGAGAGAGGGGACACCAAAACATAGGTGCGTACCATTGCCCCAATCCAATGGACTATGTCATACAGGAACAACCCATGGAGTGTGGACAGAAAGAAAGCTGGTTTTGCTTCTGCTTCCTTCGAGCTACCAAACTCTTTCGTCAGTCTCTCGTCAGGTGTGGGTCAGTCCCTCATTCTTGCTTGACTTCCCCTTTGGGGCACGAAAAGATGACTACGACTTAAGTAAGGGAGAGGACAACCCCTGTTTCTGGCTGACTTCAATGAGTGAGTGCTATTCCCATTCCTGACTTTGTCCGACCCGACCGGACCTTCTCGTGTCCCCGAATCACTCCTGCTCTTCCATCCGTTTACGAATACCGTCCTGTAAATGGAGTTGCCTGCCCTGTCTGTCCTGGCTAGCGAAGTAGGCTTTCCCTCTTTAGTTCAAGAGTTCCGGAAGTTCAAACTCAACAAGAAATTATATCCAGTGCAATGCAACAACTTTGATTAGTAAGTCTTGCTTCGGCGAATTGCTTTTTTCCTATATTTTTTGTTGAATTCTCTCTGGTAGAATTGCTGTACATGATGATGAAAAAAAAAAATGATCTTTTTTCTTCTTTTATGAAAATGAAAAAGAAAAGAATTCGACGATAAGAGAAAAGGGTAAATAAGAACATAAATAAGAATGAAAATAGAAGATATATTCAAAAAAGAGAATAAGAAAGATATAAGATATGATGATGATTGTAAGTTTGATCC